AGGTTGAGTCCGCTGCGACCTAATCAATCATCCTCCAGATCTGAACCTTCAGCAATTCTGAGAGCCAGACTCCTTTCCTTCTTGGGTCCATCCATTTTCATAGTTTGTCTTCTCAGTTCATAGGCAGTAAGGTTTCCAATTAGTTCATCCAGCTTGAGAGTAGCAATATTCTTTGATTCCTGGATAGCAGTAATTTTGCTTTCCCAAGAGACTCGCAGAACCCTTGTTAAAATCTTCTCAACTTTGTCTTCTTGGATAATCCTTCCAAGAGACTTAAGTTCATTTGTCAGTGTGGTGAACCTTGATACATCTCTTGGATGGTTTCTCCTTCCTACATGGTGAAATTATCATATTGAGAATACAGCAGTGTTCCTCTGGACCTCTTCACTTGAGGTGTTCCTTCATGAGCCACTTGTAAAGTATCCCAGATTTCCTTAGCAGTGGTACAGCTTTGAATTCTACTGTACTCATCTGGACCTAGTCCACACACAAGCCATTTCTTGGCCTTGGCATTTTTCTCCCACTTCTTCAGGGCTTCAGCAGTGCAATCAGCTCTTGTCTTTGGCGCATCAACTCCTTCAGCATTCTTCTTTATGGTTGCTAGGGGACCATCACTAACTATGTCCCAGAGTTCATAGTCTTCCCCTATGATGTGTTCCCTCATCCTGTTCTTCCACCAAGAATAGTATTGACCATTGAAAAGTGGAGGCCTAGCAGTGGATTGCCCTTCCCAGTTCCTAGGTGGTGCACTCATGTTGATCTTTTCCTAAGGTGTTAGCCTCTTCAAGGATAACCTGCTCTGATACCAATTGATGTTCTAAACGCCAATACCACACAAGAGGGGGGTGGGGTGATTTGTGTGGTACCCAATTTTCGTTCTAGAAGAACCTGGTTCTTCTAGGTATACTAACTCTACTGTTTACAGAATAATAAGCACATAAAATAAAGAACACAGAGATTTTTACGTGGAAAACACCTGGCTCAAAAGGTGAAAAAACCACGACCTACTACTCAGTAGGATTTTCCCAAACATCCACTAAAATCACTGAGCCAAAACAGCATTTACAAAACTCTTTGTAAACCTAAGGATTAACTCTAATCCCGTTGTAGCACACACCCTCAACTGTTGCGACAACTTCAAGTTAGCATATAACTTGAACACTCTAAGTACCTGATACAATTGCTTCTATGAAAGTTGAAAGGTACAAGTTTAAATTACCTACTACAATTGAACTAGAATAAAAGAAAGACTCAATGGAATTGGTTCTTCTATCTCGTCCAAGTAGCTTCAGGAATGCACACTCAAATCTCACATAAATTGCTTGCAAAATTGCCTCGCTCTTTTGCTCTCAATTTAGTTTAACTTCTGCGTTAGTGCAATACCTGTAAAAGAGAACAATCACTGTTTATTTAATGAGTTAGTAATTAGAGTTTGATTGAGACTTAATTGCTGATCTTCCATCGAAGTTGAATCCTTGAACAACACAAACTCCAACACTATCTTTTATCCGGATTGTGTTCTCTTCACATAAGGAGACTTTCTCTCCTTATCCCATATGCAACCTTTTCGATCAGATCAGGAGATATTTGCTGCTTGATCAATGAGACTTATCTCCTTCACGTGCATCTCACATGTGTAGGTTGATCATCATTGTGCTTCACCTGATGGACCTGGTCCATGACTGAGTTTATTTGTCATTCTTCAAAACTTCACGTGTTCTTGGGCCAACAACCTCCTCCCTTAGTTGCCTGCAATCCTCGGTCTTGTTACCATGCGGGCCATGATACTTGCATATCAAATTTGGGTGTCTTTGGGAAGGATTAGTTTGTATGAGTCTGAGCCACCTAGTATCTTTGATCATTCCAATTGCCGATACAATGCCCGATACGTCGATGCTAAAGTTATTTTCCGATAATCGAGGTTCCTCTGTAGGATCGGCATGCTTATCAAAACCACTTTTGCTCAAGTCCCTGAGAATTCTATCCTCGATCACTTCTTCGATCATTCCGGGCGGAATTGCATCCCAAACCATTGTTCCTTCGATCTGTGGTATATGGTTGATATCGTTCTCTGTTCGACCTTATCTCTTTGTCGACGTCCCTCTGGGTTTCAATTTTCGACCTGTTTGGATGAATTGAACCAGAAGGAGCTCCTAATTGGTCATCATCGACCCTGATCTTCGATTGATATCGATTGTGCACATCTACCCAAGTCACAGCTGGATACTCGATCAAATTTTGTTTCAACTGACGTAACGCTATCGAAATTCGTTCGTTCAACCTTTGAGTTAAAGCTTGAAGGGCCCAATCATCTGTGACCGGTGGCAACTTCATGCGTTCCATTTGAAATCGAGATATGAACTCCCTTAGCATTTCGTTATCCTTTTGTCTTATCTTGAAAAGGTCCGATTTTTTTGTCGTGACCTTTATGGCAACGGCGTGCGCCTTCACAAAAGAATCCTCTAACATGACAAATGAGTCGATGGAATTTGGTGCAGGTTGTGATACCAAATCATTGCTCCCTTCGAAAGGGTTTCTCCGAACTTTTTCAACAGCACGGACTCGATCTCATCATCTTCTAAGTCATTTGCCTTTATTCCGCTCGTGTACGAAGTGATGTATTCATTAGGATCGATGGTTGGGCTTGGGGCCGCACTTTGAGGAAAAAGCTTCTGCACGAACTTTTTCGAATCCAAACTTTTTAGGATCGGGGGTTTTCCCGGCATCTGATCAACTCGGGAGTTGTATGTTTCCACTTTTTTATCATTATCTTTGATTTTTTTCTCTCCTGAATCAATTCTTTTGGTGAGCTCCTCGAGCATTTTCATTATTGCGGGATCAGTCCCCGATTCGTTACCATTCGACCTTTCCGGCATTGGCTCGGTACGACGGGTGATTTCTGGCTCGACCCCACTTGGAGTCCTATATTGATTTTGTAACTGAGCAATAGCGGCCTGCTGAGCCTGTGGCATCTCGAATATCACTTCGAAGCTAACTCTCGTCTCCTCTGTCCTGTGCACCTTGACCACCAGATCAGCCTTCCTTGCGCACACTCCCTTCGGGGTCCGTGCCTAGGTTCGTATTTAGAAAAACGTATGAACTTACATCGACTGGATCGGCAACCGGTGCTTCCCCGAGATTAGCCGGTGGCACCCTGGCTCCTGGAGCAATTACATTGTCGTTTTCCCCATGAAATCCGAGACCATCATCACCATGTATGGGTGCGTTTTGTGAGTTTGACATGTTTTAACCCGAGAGCAAAAACATACTTGACAAGAACAAGCGTGAAATGACGTGTGTTACCAGAATCGGTATTGAGCAATCACTATTATCCTTAGCCCCACGGTGGGCGCCAAACTGTGTTTACCCTAAAATTTGAGTAACAATTAAACTTATATTGTGGTTTTAAGATATGTGATTTAATCCAATACCAATTGATAAACAAGGAATTAAATAGATAAATTAGAGAATAAAATAAATCAAACCAGTGTGCAAGGCAAATCTCGACCTCGACCTATGGTAGTCTCGAGGTGTGATAATAAAGAATAACAAATGATAAAGCAACTCTGACGAACAGTAAGTGATAACAAGAAAGTAACGAGCGTATATTTTCTTATCAGTGAACAACGTGTTTTACAAATGAATGGGATCCCTCTTTATATAATAGGGGAGTCCTAAATAAGGTACACTTCTAATTATAGTAGAAAATCATAGTTGACAACTGATTAACCTCTGAGGATCAATCCATTCCGGAATTCACGCCATGATCTTCGGTCCGTTACGAGTGTCTCGCTCTTTCCGTTAATGAACTATACCGGTATCATCTCGAAGTGTGCCCTCTTCTGACCTCGGTAAGTGATATCGACCTCGATCTTGGAAAGAAAACTTCGACCCCGAACTCGACGTTCTGGCCTTCCAACATGGTATCGCTTTTTCCATCAAAGGACGAAATCGGACTGCCCTGATTTCCACCGTATACATAATCCTTGCATAAAGATTTAATCATCGTACCAAACGAGCCGTTAGTGTAGTAGGCGTAGAGTGGAAAAAACTTTTCGACCAGCACAAGAAACGGCCAAGATAGGAGTCCAATTTCGTCCCCAACAAACTCAAAGCTGTTTCACAATCATATGCTCTTTCCCACCATGACGACAACACATTTAAAACAGCTGTTTCAGTCATACCAGTCGCTTTCCTAACAAGATTTTGTACAACTTGTTACTCTTCGCATGTTTTTTTGTTTTTATCGCATGTTAATATTATGTTTGCCTGTTATGCAATCAAATCATGAGCTAGCTCCCTTAGTTGATCGGAAACAACCTATAATAAATGAAAATGCTAAGAGTATCTCATGTTAGATGAGAAAACACAAGTTATTATCTCCTCATATAGTTTTGAACAATTTTCTTATAAATTAATTTTTAGAATTGAGTTATATCAGGTTAATTTTGTTAACATAATATCACGGATTGTTACATTTTAAAATGTGATGATTTATGTAATCTTATCTCATGAATTAATTTTTGTGGACCATTTTTTAATTACTTTTAAAAATTTTGCATGATCTTTTTCTTCTATTCAAATTGTAAAAAAGTTTAAACAATTTTCTCATTTAATTTGTGATGTTAAGTTACGTCAAAAGTATAATTTTCAACGAAGAAAAAGAAAATCAATCGCAGCTTATAAGCCATATTTAGCTCACATTGGAGGTTGACTTAGGTCAAAATCTAGTTCCTTTATCTAAGGTAAAAAAGAAAAGCTTTAGCAGCTTTAGGTCAATTCAGTAAAACAAGGTAGAATGTTCTCTTTCTCTGTGTAAGTAGTGAAAGACCGAAATCTTCGACTTAACAAATTGAATATGGAAAGAAATTCAATTTACCGTAATTATCAAATTCGAAGTGACACGTATGTGTATAGTTGGTACCAGAGGTGTCGGTTTAGCTACTAGAAGCCGTGTAAAGCTTATATTTAGGACACATGCTCCTTTGATTAACGGAAACCAAAACACAACACCATGGCATTTTGATTAAAATTTCTCCTCGCTTTATTCTGTTTTTTCTCTTATATCTCCTCCATTTTCGACCGCCGCTGCCGTCTAACTTTTTGTTCGAAATTTTCCGGCCGAAATCGCCGGAACAGTTAAAACCCCTTATTACTATTGTCATGCTTCCTAATTTCCATAAACCTCCTTTAGAACCCAAAACTCCTGATATTCCTGATCGCAAAAGCTTAATTTACTTCCTTCAACCCTTGCTCTCCTTTCACAATCCCCGTATATGGCTTATTCTTACCGTCCTCCTCCTTCAAATTCTCCTCCTCCTCAATGTCCGCTCTCTCCCCTTCTCCATTTACATCACATCCCACCCCCACCGTATCCCCCCTATATCTTCCGCCGCCACTATTTCAACCATCACCGAAGTTGATAATATTACTAACTTGTGTCCTTTAGGAAAAGTATATGTCTATGACCTCCCCCAATTATTCAACGCTGAGCTAATACAAAATTGCCACGAATTAAACCCCTGGATTTCGCCATGCCAAGCGCTGTCGAACGACGGCTTTGGCGGCAGAGCCACCGGGCTTTCGAAAGTTGTTCCGGAAAGCCTTATCGGGTCGTGGTATTGGACGGACCAGTTTGCATTGGAGCTAATTTACCATAACCGTATGGTAAACTATCGGTGCAGGACTATGGAGCCGGAATCTGCTACGGCTTTCTACATCCCGTTCTACGCTGGACTAGCAGTGGGAAAGTACTTGTTTAAGAAGAACTCCAGAGCAAAAGATCGTGATATGCATTGCGAGCTGATGCTCAACTGGGTCCAGAATCAAACTTATATGAAGCCTAAAAACGGTTGGGATCACTTCATATCCATGGGCCGCATCTCATGGGATTTCCGCCGATCGAAAGATAAAGATTGGGGTTCTAGCTGTATATACATGCCGGGAATGCGTAACATCACGCGCCTTCTAATCGAGAAAAACCCTTGGGACTATTTCGATATTGGTGTGCCTTATCCCACCGGATTCCACCCCAGCACCGCTAATGACATCACCCAGTGGCAGAACTTTGTCCGTTCGCGTGAAAGAAAAACTCTCTTCTGCTTTGCTGGAGCGACACGTGGACTTGTCAAGAATGATTTTCGAGGTTTGTTACTGAGTCATTGTTACAGCGAGTCGGACTCGTGTCAAGTTTTGGACTGTGCTGGGTCTAAATGCTCCAATGGCACTTCTGAAATTCTAGAAACTTTTCTCGACTCAGATTTCTGCTTACAGCCTAGAGGTGACAGTTTCACTCGGCGGTCTATTTTTGACTGCATGGTGGCCGGTTCAATTCCGGTCTTTTTCTGGAAGAGAACGGCTTATTATCAGTACGAGTGGTTTTTGCCTGGCGAACCAGAGAGTTACTCGGTTTTTATAGACCGTTATGAGGTAAAAAATGGGTCCTCTATTAAAGCTGTTCTTGAAAAATTCAGCAAAGAAAATGTAAAGTTAATGCGAGAGAAAGTGATAGAGAATATACAGAAGATTGTGTATGCTAAACCCAAAGAGGGGATAGATGGCATTAAAGATGCTTTTGATATTGCAGTGGAAGGTGTGTTGAGGAGAATCAAGAAGCAGGATCGGAAGTAGGGTATAAATGGTAATAAAAATTTGCAAATGGGGAAATTAAGGTTTAGGTAGATATGGGAGTGCAGCAGCTTTGCAGGTGCATGGGCATGGCGGCAGTTAAGTTTAGTTACTGTTTTCCTGCCACAGATGCACGGTGCACCATTGGAAAGCAGCTGCATTTTGGGACGAAGTTGATATAAACTTTTACTGATATTTATATGATGTATTTATTATGTAGTATAAGTAGCTTATATTGGTGGATTTTTTGTGTTGAGAATGGTATAAAATAAATGGGGAGAAATATGTTGAATGCATTCTGACCGCGGTTGCTGTAATAGTACTGTACATTCCAAAACATAATTTTATGCATTGTGAATGTGTTAAATAAGTGTACATTTTTTATATTGAGCTATAAGGTTGTGATAGTCTTTGGCATTATATATATAATAATTGCCAGTACTGTGCCTTAAGTGAAGTGCTTTAGGAATAAATTAAATGGTCCTAGAAACAAAACTGAAGAAGCATGCGTGGGCCCTTTGTGTTTAGAATAGTGTATATGGTCAAAATCATAATCAAGTATGCTCCATATAGTGGGCTCGAGGAACCACTTTAAGAGTAAGTTCGAAGTACACTGAGCTATTCGAACTCGAACCACTTTAAGAGTAAGTTCGAAGTACACTGAGCTCGAGGCCGATGGCAGAGTTCGAAGTTCGAAGTTCGAAGTTCGATGATCGAAGTGACTGATGAATGTCGAGACCGAACGTCATCGGCCTCGAGATATTGCCGTTAGGTTTTGTAACAGAAAGAGCAAGATTCCCGCCACGTCCCCAAGATCGTGGCGTAAATTCAGGAATAGATTTGTACGAGTTAGTACGAATCCGTACTAGGCGGTTAGACAGTTGTCCCAATAAGATTCCTTACTGAAAATAGAAATGTACCTTATTTAGGGTTTCCCTACTATAAAAAGGGGATCCAATCATTTATAAACATCATCAATCATTGACAAAAGAATACATTCTCTTACTTCCTCGTTCATTGTTCATCAGAATTATCCTTTAACTTTATTGTTCTTACTTTACTGTTCTTGACCTACCTCGAGGCCACCTTAGCTTGAGGTCGAGACTGGCTTGCACACTGGTTTGATTTTACTTATTTCCTTCATTTATACGTTAGTTTTCTTGGTTATTAATTAGTATTGAACTAAATCACATATCTTTAAAATCATAAATCAAGTTTAATTGTTACTTGTATTTTCGAGGTAAACAGTTTGGCGCCCACTGTGAGCTAAAGATAATAGTGATTATTTCAGTGTTGATTCTGATAACACAAGCTATTTTCACACTTGTTCTTGTCAAGAATTTTTATTCTCAGGTTAAAACATGTCAAACTTACAAAACTCACTCGTACACGGCGATGAGGGTCTTGGATTTCATGGAGAAAACAACAATGTAGGGGTCGGTGTACCACCGATTAACCCTGGGGAAGTGCCAAATAGGAAACCGGTCGATGTTAGTTCGCACATTGCTTTGGATGCGGATTTAGGCGCAGACCCTGGAGGAAGTGTATGCATGAAAGCCCGATTTGGTGGCCAGGAAACACAGGGTATAAGAGACGGGGGATTCAGCCTCCAAGTAATATTCGAGATGCTACAAGCTCAACAGGTCGCTATCGCTCAGCTTCAAAGTCATTACAAAACTCCAAGTGTAGTCGAACAAGAAAAAACTCGACGACTGAACCGGTACGGGTTAAGATCAAACGGTAATGGCTCGGGGACTGATCCCACAATTATGAGGATGCTCGAGGAACTCACCAAGAGAATCGAGTTCGGGGAGGAGAAGATTGAGGATAATGACAAAAAAGTTGAGACTTATAACTCCCGTGTTGATCGATCGATTAGCAGTTAAGGCCCCATCGGGTTCAGTTCATCCTAATAGATTGGCAGTTAAGGCCCCGAGGGATACGGACAGGGAACCAAGATCAAACAAGGAGCGGTATCAGCCATATGTCGACAGGAGAAACAACGGTTCAGTGCGTAACGCTCCTCGGAACGATCGAAGAAATGATCGAGGTCAAAGCTCTCGGGGACTTATGAGTAAGAATTGTTTTGATAAACATACCGACCCCGCAGAAGCACCTCGATTGTCGGAGTATAATTTTAGTGTAGATGCATCGGGGATCGTGTCAGCTATTGGAAGAATCAAAGACACCAGGTGGCCTAGGCCTATACAAACCGATCCTTCTCAAAGGAATCCAAACTTGATGTGTAAGTATCATGGCACACATGGCCATAGGACCAAAGACTGCAAGCAGCTGAGAGAGAAGATAGCTCGGTTGTTCAACGAGGGTCATCTTCGGGAATTTCTCAATGATCGAGCTAAGAACCACTTCAGGGAAAGAGATGCAAACACAAAAAAGAGCAAGAAGAACCACAACACGTAATTCATATGATCCTTGGCGGTGTCGATGTTCCACAAGGGCCTATATTCAAACGCACCAAGGTGTCGATCACCAGAGAAAAATGGACTCGGAGCTGCGTGCCCGAGGGCGTCTATCATTCAATAACGAGGAAGCGGAAGGCATATCTCAGCCGCACAATGACGCCCTGGTAATTTCTATTTTGTTAAACAAAATTCAAGTTAAACGTGTTCTAGTGGATCCAGGTAGCTCAGCAAATATAATCAGATCGAGGGTAGTAGAGCAGCTCGGCCTACTGGACCAAATTGTACATGCATACCGAGTCTTAAATGGCTTCAACATGGCAAGCGAAACAACGAAGGGGGAGATAATCCTACCAGTCAACGTGGCCGGGACCATCCAAGATACAAAATTCCATGTCATCGAAGGCGACATGAGATATAATGCACTTCTCGGGAGGCCATGGATCCACAACATGAGTGCAGTACCTTCAACCCTTCATCAGATGATGAAGTTCCCAATAGTGGATGGTGTAAAAACGGTTTATGGAGAACAACACGCTGCAAAGGAAATGTTTGCAGTCGAGGAGGTGATACCGGTACCAGCACCTTCGACCTCGGAAAAGTTAAGCACCAAAAATAAGCAGACGGCCAAATAGCAATCACCGTCCCCAGCCTCGACCGAATCGGAGCAGCAGGTAACCGAAGAAGAAGAAGAGGATCTCCTTACTCCTCGAACTTTTGCTGTTCCCGAAGAGTCCGATGCAACCAAGTCGACGGCCGAGGAACTAGAACAGGTCATACTGATCGAATACATGCCCGAGAGAAAAGTATACCTGGGAATGGGGTTAACCCCTAAACACAGGAAAAAACTCATTCAATTTCTTATTGATAATATTGATTGTTTTGCTTGGTCCCATTTAGACATGACATGGATCCCATCGAAAATAACAACACCTGCTAAGCCTCGACCCCAGGTTCAAATTGGTAAAGCAGAAAAGGAGGCCCCAAGTCCGACGTGAAGCATGCATTCATAATGGATGAGGTAACTAAACTTCTGAAAATAGGGTCTATTCGGGAGGTATAATACCCTGAATGGTTAGCCAACGTGGTTGTAGTCCCTAAAAAGGGAAAAAAACTTAGAATGTGCGTAGATTATAAGATGTGAACAAGGCATGCCCTAAAGATTCTTTTTCCCTGCCTAACATCGATCGCATGATCGATGCCAGACCAGCCATGAGATCCTAACCTTTCTCGACCTCTACTCCGGGTACAATCAATTTCAGATGAACCCGGAGGACCAGGAAAAAACCTCATTTATCACTAAATTTGGAACATACTGTTACTATGTAATGCCCTTCGGGCTAAAAAATGCTGGAGTAACATACCAACGCTTAGTTAACAGAATGGTCGAGGAACTGATAGGTAAATCAATGGAATTTTACATTGACGATATGCTGGTTAAGTCCCTGCGCGTAGAGGACCATTTAACTCATTTGCAGGAAACATTCAAAATCTTGAGGAAGAACAACATGAAGCTTAACCTAGAAAAATGTGCCTTCGGGGTCGGTTCGGGCAAGTTCCTCGGATTCATGGTATCAAATCGAGGGATCGAAATCAACCCCGACAAGATCAAGGCCATCGAAGATATCACTATCGTAGATAGCGTGAAAACTGTACAAAGGTTAACCAGACGGATAGCCGCCTTGGGTCGATTTATTTCGAGGTCATCGAATCGAAGCCACAGGTTCTTTTCCTTGCTCAAAAGAAGAAGAATTTCGCATGGACCCCGAAATGCCAGCAAACATTGGAGGAATTGAAGCGATATTGATCGAGTCCACCTGTGATTCACACCCCGAAGGTAGATTAAAAGCTTTACTTGTATTGGCAGTGTCCGAGATAGCGGTAAGTGGGGTACTGGTCCGAGAAGAGCAAGGTACGCAATTCCCTATTTATTATATAAGTCGAACTCTAGGTGATGCTGAAACTAGATATCCACACTTAGAAAAATTGGCACTTGCATTAATAAGCGCATCTAGAAAGTTAAAGCCATATTTTCATTGTCATCCCATATGTGTGTTGACCACTTATCCCTTTCGAAATGTTTTGCATAAGCCTGAACTATCGGGTCGGTTCGCCAAATGGGTCATCGAACTTGGCGGGTACGATATCGAGTATCAACCCTGAACGGCCATCAAGTCTCAAATCCTAGATGACTTCGTGGGCAGTTTTACGCCGACACTCATACCCTAAGTGGAGAAAGAACTTCTGTTAAAATCGGGTACATCATCGGGGGTATGGACCCGTTTCACGGACGGTGCCTCGAATGTGAAAGGTCCGGGCTTGGCATTGTTTTGAAGCCACCAACAGGTAGTATTATTAGACAATCTATCAAAACTTCTAGGTTGACTAATAACGAGGCCGAGTATAGGGTCATGATTGCAGGCCTCGAGCTAGCTAAAAGCTTGGGGACAGAAGTCATTGAAGCAAAGTGCGATTCTCTGTTGGTAGTGAACCAAGTAAACAAAAGCTTCGAAGTTCGAGAGGATAGAATGCAAAGATACTTGAATAAGCTACAGGTAACCTTGCATCGCTTCAAGGAGTGGACCATAGATCATGCGCCTCGAGAACAAAACAGTAAGGCCGATGCACTTGCTAACTTGGGGTCATCGGTAGAAAAAGATGATATTGTTTCGGGGACTATCATCCAATTATCGAGATCTGTGGTCGAAGAGGGTCATGCCGAGATAAATTCTATGAGTTTGACTTGGGATAGGAGGAATAAGTATATAGACTATTTGAAAAATGGAAAGCTCCCATCGGATCATAAAAGAGTCAAGGGCTCTACAAACCAAGGTTGCTAGGTTCACATTGGATGAAGATGGAACATTGTACAGGAGGACTTTCGATAGACCATTGGCGGTATGTTTAGGGCCGGAGGA